GCAGAGGAAGAGGGGGGGGTCGTGGTGCTGGGCCAGTGCAGGTGGCACAGGCCGAGAAGGGTGACAATCGCAGTCACCAAACACAGCACACTTTTTTACAGCATTTCCAGAATCCTCACCAGACCGGGAGGTGGCTCTGTAGACATGCCCGCTTTGTGGAGAAAAACCAAGGCTGAGCAGGCCGTTTTCTGAATTGAAGTTCCCTCTGCCCAAATAGCCCTCGCTTGTGTCAAGTTGACAGAAAACTGACCAGTACAGCCCCCTGTGGTTCCTCCCCATTGTTTTTGAGAATGGGTTTCACTTTGCAAGCCCAGCTGGCCTGGAGGTGGCCATGTAGACCAGGCTGGCCTCGAACTCACAGAGATCTGCCTGCCTCTGTCTCTCTAGTGCTGGGATTAGGGGAATGCACTACCATACCAGTGTTGTCCCTTCATTTTAGAGAGGAGATTTTCTTTGACTGTGAGTCTGGGGACATGCCAGAATGTCACACTGTCAGGAGCTTCCCAGCAAGATACCTTCTCACGGAGAGGGGCATGGGGAGGCATCGGGTGGCATGGCAATGTATGCCGGAAGCAGATCCAACTGTGGATTTCCTGGGCTTACCCCAGCTCCCACACATGCCTGTCACTTAATTCATGGCCCACCCACAGACCTGTAGTGCCAGTCCAGTGCCTGAGGCTCTAGGAGGGGTAGGGCCAGGATGCCAGGGGAATGAGAATCCAAGGACACACAGCACCCTCCTGGCAAAAGCCGCCTCTCTCGGGCACCACAAGAAATAGCCATGACTCCACTGCCACCCTGGGACCTTGCCGAGCACCTGTTTCTGACAGGGACAGGGTGAGGGTGGCCAGAGCCTTGAAGGCAGCAGGATTGGGCGGGACAGGCCCCTCCATGCCCCCAGGGAAGGGCCCAGCAGGCCTGTTCTGCCTAGAGCTGCCTCTCAAGGGAAGCCACAACTGGCCCCTACCTATGAGGGTGGCGAGACATGTATGTGGCACCTTAATACCTGTGACAAAGCGCCATGATCAAGGCAACTTACACAAGAAAGCTTTTCATCTGGGACTCATGGGTTCAGAAGGGTTGGAGTCCACCGTTAGGGCAGGGGGCGTGGCCGCGCAGGCCCACTCGGTGCTGGAGCGGTAGCTGAGAGCTCACGTCCGCTCCACTATCAGGAGACAGAGGGAGAGAGCACCAACAAGCAATGGTCCACATCTGTGAAACCTCCAAGGCCACCCCTAGTGATTCACCTCCTCCACGACTCCTAATCCCTCCACCAACTGGGGATCAAGCATTCAAATACACAGCCCTGTGGGGGCATTATCATTCAAACCACCACATCTTCCTACATTGACTTTGTAAAGTTGCTGACCCAAGGGGAGACACTGGGTACACACACACACACACACACACACACACACACACACACACACACACACCTCAGGCCACCGTCAAGTTGCCCATCAGATTCAATGACAACAGCATTATTGGTGAGATGATGATCAGTCTGGGACAGACACTACTGCCTTGTCCAGTTGTGGCATGGTTGCTGCCACAGCCCGCTACAGTGAGGAGAAATGGGTTCTGTGGACTTTACTAGGCACTCCCCAGATGAGACGTAACATACAGTGTTACAGTCATAGGAGATACCTTGTTTATGTTAATAAGTTTTACAGTGTTCGCATATATGTGCCCCCAGAAAGCTGTTAAACTTTTGCTGCTGGGATGGGGCAGCAAAGGATGTGTTAGTGAGGCTGGGTGGAGGGAGAGAAAGCAGAGCCCGGGAGCTTGCAGCCAGCTGGGGACAAGTTCCCAGCAAGAGGGGGAAAGTGCTGGGTCTAGGGATGGAGTAACTCTGGTGTCCCAGGTAGGGGAGGAAGGCTGAGGCCTAGGTGGAGATGTATCCCAGGAACCATGGGAGTAGGGGGCCAGGAGCTGTCTTAGAGAGGGTGCCCAACAGCCTGGTGACAGTGCCGGGAGCCGTGATGGTCAAATGGTGACATTTGCAGTGTCCATGAGTTGGGTATGAGGGAGAAGGGAAGGTGGGGGTGTAGAGGACACCCCTGGTCCAAGTCAGGGACAGGCTTGGGTGCGGCTAAGAGACAGGTGTGATAGGTACAGGTGATGTGCAGGTGACCTGCCCTGGGGGAGGAGGGGAAGGTGGCAGTAGTTTCCAGAGAGACAGAGAGAACGCTCAGCAGTCAGGCAGTGTCAAAGGTCACATTCAAGGTCAGTAGCCACAGACCCAGACAGTCCATTGTGTCTAGCACAGCTCAGAAACTGAGTGGCGAGCTGGCCTTGGCAGCTGCTGGAACTAAGCCAGGCAGCTGACAGAGGGAAAGCTGAGAGGGTCAGGTGCAGAAGGCCCAGGGGGTTGAGCCCTGGTGTGGGAGGGTTGAGATTCAGATGTGGTCCCGTGGGTGCTGACAGGGCAGTTCTCAGCCATTTGGTCCTTAGTAATGACAGTGTGTGGGGCCTACCCCAGAGAGATGCCTGAGGCCAGACAGAGGCAGCTGCATTGGAAGCATGGGGTGGGGCCAAGGAGATGTCAGGAGCTGGGGACAATAAAATCTGGGGACCACAGCATTCTGGGAGCTGGGAGCTGGTACCCTCCAGGGGCGGGGGCAGAGTGACAGCCAGCAGGGAGGGAGGGGGCCTTGCACATGCTGACGTCTGAACAATTAACTTCAAGGGCTGGAGGATCAGGAATTCAAGGTCATCCTTGGTTATATGGTGAGTTCAAGGCCAGTCTGGGACAGTGAGGAGCAAGGAACAGCTGGAGCCTCAAGTCATGTGGGCAGAATGGTGGTAGCCATGGGGATAAGGCTTTAGGAGGGCATGGCCACTGTGGGGCAAGTCGGTCCCTGGTGTTCAATGGGACACTAAATCAAAATGGTCACAGCACCTGGAAGAAGTGGAGGGAGTGGGATGTGTGAGGTTTCCATGGCAACAGGAACGCAGAGTGAAGGATGCTCTGAGGGTGGGCCAGGGGAGGCCTGTGGTGCTCCAGGGACCTCTCCCCTCTGCTTTTGCCTCTTCAGTAGAGTGGGGCTGTGGTGGGCCACAGGGTGTGACTGAAGGAACTGTGGCCATTGTTGGTTTTATGCGGCACTGTTTACCCTTTGAGGAAAAGTCACGACGAGGCACAACAAAACCCACTATGAGAGTTTATTAGGAAAGGGAGGGACAGGAGAGGGTGTGCTCAGGCCTGTTGGAGAGACATGTGCGGAGAGGGAGGAAGGAGGAGAAGGGGGAAGATAAAGGGGGAGGAGTCTGTGACCCGCTTTTTATGGATTGCCCCTGCACATGCGCATATGTGCTCACATAGCTGCACCATGCATGCACATAGATTGCGCGATCACGCTGTGCGCTAATTACATGACCACACAGGACATAAGGCCCCTTGCTTGGCTATTGAACAGTGAATGTGCTCTCATGTGGCAACAGCCATTATCACTATTGTCAATGAAGACAGTTACTTGGCGGGGACAGGGTGCCTATGAAGGGGGCTGGGGAAGGACTTTTTTCAGAGCTGTGCTTGGATGGATTCTCAGGGGCCCAGGGAAGGGTAGAGGCAGGAGGATGTGAGAAAAGACCTCCCACCTTGTCTATGCAGTCAGGGGATCTCTGTAAGTGGTCATGAATGGTCAGTGGTCAGTGACCTCAGCTGTGAGACGCTGTGGTAGAGCTCTGAGCACTAATGGGCAGGGGAGAGAGCCATGCATGTGTGGCCCCCTCTTCTGATGTCTCCTCAGGGCAGCAGCTCCTCAGAGGAGGACTCTGTGAGGCCTGAGACCAGGCTAGAGCCTGACACAGAGGTAGGCAGCTTATATCCATCAGTTGAAGGACAATACATCTCCCCAGGACCCTTGCCTATGGCTACAGGAGGGTCCCAAGCAGGTGGCCCAGCAGCTGAGGGGCTCAGCACATTGATGGTTCCCTGTCTCTCCAGAGCCAAGAGCTCTGGAGCTTCAGTTGGGTACCAGGCATCAGGTGGACAGGGAGAAGCTGCTGTATGGGGGGGTCCATGTCAGTGGGTACTGTTGCCATACTCTGGTGCAGATGGGCCGGAGGGAGCCCTGAGGTTGGCAGAAAGTGGGAATCCATTTTTTCCTTTCCACGTGATTGTTGAGTGTCCCTACACTCTCTGAGGATCCAGCAGCAAGCTAGGCAAACTGGCTGCCCTCCGGAACTAAGCTATCAGGACAGCAGGAAAGCAGGATAGCAGGACAGCAGGACAGCAGGACAGTCACGTGCACAGTTGATAAAGCAGGAAAGGACAGGTGTGCAGAAGGATGATGCAGCCTTAGATAGAGGGATGAGGCGGGTGCTTAGTCTCTCTTCCCGTTGCTGTGGTAAAATAACACAATGAAACAGCTAAAGGAGCAGGGGCTTATTCTGGTCCAGGGTTCGGGGTGCAGCCCATCACAGTGGGCAGTCAAGGCAGCCAGAGCCAGAAGCAGCTGTCCAGAGTCGGAAGGGAGCCATGAGAGAAGCCGTACTTCTGCTTAGTCCTCTCTCTGTCCTTGTACAGTCTGGGATCATCGGCCCAGGGAATGGCCCCACCCATAATTAAAATGGGTATCCCACACCAATTAACAAATTATGTTTTAAAAAAATCTATGTGTGTGCATATACACAAGCGGAGGTCAGAGAGAGTTGGTTCTTTCATTCTGCCATTAGGGCCTGGGGGATCGAACTCAGATTATCAGGCTTGGCGGCAAGCCCCTTACCTACTGGACCATCTTACCACCCCATTTACATCGATTAATACAATCAAGATAATACCTCATAGGCAGGTTCTAAGGCCCAGACCCCCAGATAGTTCCAGATGCTGTCAATTAACCCTAACCATCTCAAGAGGGTAGTTGAAAAGGAGACATTAAAACAAAGCCCTAAAGTCTGAGGGTATGAGCCTTGTGGATGTTGGGGGAGTGCATTCAGCTATATGAAGGTCCTGAGCCAGGAAAGCTTGGTGTCTTCATGAACCAGCAGGGAGGGCCATGTGGTTAGAGCAGAGAGACTTGGAGGCAGGGGCCCCACCCCACTGGTAAGGGGTACCTCCTCCTAAACAGTGACATTCCAGCCTCTGCCTCACATGGCCACTGTCTGAGCCCCTCAGTCTCTCTCTCTCCCTACCTTTCCTTAGCGATGTGCCCAAGGGTGCCAGCACCTTTGGGGTGTCTGGGAGCTCTGAGGTGAAGATCTACATGGTCTATGATCCCGCACGGGTGGCGGAGCCTGCAGGCCGGGCCCACTGGCCCCTGGATGCCAACGTGGATGTGGTGGTGGCGGCGGACACAGTCAGTAAAAACTTAAATGATCTCAAGGTAAGTATCCCTTGGGCTGGCTTATATCCCATCCCGAGTCATCTTGGACACATCTCCACAGAGACCCAGACTTCACACACTCCAACACTACACAGCACAATGGAACAACCGGGTCACCCCCAAGATCCACACAGAGACCCAGATCCACATTTCATTCACCTCATGTTCCCCAACATCATACGGCACATGGGAATGCCCCAGTCACCCCTCAGATCCACATAGAGACCCAGACCCACAGCCCACCTCATGTACCCCAACATCACACAGCACTCAGGAACAACCTGGTCACCCCTCAGATTCACACAGCTCTGTTACACCCTCCAGTTGCCCACAAACCTCTGTGCTCCCCGGGCAGGATCCCATGGTTGCACTCACATGTTCTCTCTCACACAGGGCCTCAGCACGCCCACTCAAGCCTCCACATGTACCCAGCCAGCCACCTCTGGCTGACCCTTTCCTGCTGGTCCCAGTGTCTCTCATACCCAACGTTCCCTCAACTCCTGGCCCAGTGCCTTCTCCAGGAGGAGACCAGCTAGGACCTGTGTGTAGCTCTGTTCATGACAGGGTCTGTGGCAACCTTCCCTGGAAGAAATTCAGTCATGTGGGTCAAGTGGGGTAGGGGATGGGAGTCTGGACTGTGGCAAAAGCCCTGACACTCACTGTGGTCATGGACCAGGGTGGTCATCCCCTCAGTACAGAGAATGAACGATCCCAAAGGAGGTCAAGTTGCCTAGGCCAGTAGGGACAGTGGCCCCCTCTGTCTGTCCCTCTCATATCCCAGAAGGTCTTGGAATCACCATATCCCTCTTTGTAGCCCTCGTTTTTCCTCAAATTGCTTGGCGCCCTGGAACAGCACCCCAGGTCATAATTGCCAAAGAGCTTTGCCTCTGCCTCAAAACAGGGCTGTAGGTGTGGCCCACATGTCCTCTGCCTTCTCTTAGGACTGACTTCCTTCCCCAGGTGAAGGTGTCATACTTCGGGTCGCAGGAAGCTGGTGCCCTGGGTCACAGCGTGCTCTACCTCACTAGTGTTGGTGAGTCCTGCTTTTGCCTGGCTGTGGACATGGTAGCTATTGGAATATGGTGAAGGTGACTGAAGGTCCAGGAGCCTTGGAGGAGAAAGCCTCAGCCAGCCACCTCTCTCCTTCTGCTTCCTGGGAACACCAAACATCTCCAGGACCACAGGAATTGAGACCCAGCCATGCGTAGGGCCAATAGGATCTGGAAACATTCCTGCTACCAGCTTGAGTCACAGTGGCTTCCTCATGGGAGTCCCACATGTCTCTGGATCCCTGAGACCCAACCTAGAACCATAAAGAGCCACGTGCCTCTTTCACCCAGAGCCCATGGCAGCCTCCTCTGAGGACAACAGACCTGGCCATGGGGCCCCAGTGGCTACTATTAAGGGCCCCCTGCATGTGGCATAGAAACCCAGGGCCACCAAGACATAGTCACCCAACACACATGGCCAAGCCAGCAACTTGTGTCCCTCCAACACCAGAACCGCCAGTGTCACCCTAGCCAGAGCCCCAGGGCCAGCACAGGGGCTCCCAGATGTTGAGTCTCTTGAGCTAGGCTTCTGGGTCCTCATCAGCTGGGGTGGGAGCCAAGACGGCTGGGCCTGCCATCACAGGTACAGAGGCAGGTGACCTGTCTGCCTTTTGCAGATGTGTCCCTCGATGTCGACACAGGCCGCACAGGCAAGGTGAAGAAAGGCTCGGGTGACAAGGTGAGACACTGGGTACCCCCAAGAGTGTGGAGCTGACGGGCAGACCAGGGTGATCTCGGCAACAGAAGAGCCGCCAATTCTAGTCCAGGATTGGTGCCATTTATGGAAGTGTGGCCAAATGCTGTGTGACTGTTGGGAAAACACCCTCTCTGGTCTGTCTTAGTCTGCTCACTGCAGTTTCTACTCAGGAGGTTGTGTCTGGACCTCTCAACATGGCTGGGGCTTCACGAAAGGTTGTTATTTCCGGTAGAGGGGGCTATGGTATTCAGCTACAGCTAGGCCACGAAGAATGAAGAATGGAGCTGTCCCATGGGGAGCATGCAGCTCACGTAGGGGCAGGAGTTACAGCTTGCAGGGAGAGACCCAGAGAGGCAGGCTGGATCTCAAGGCTTTGTGGGCAAGGTGGGGCAGGACTTCTGAATGGCTGCATAGGTTATTCACTGCACGAGGTTGCTCCAGAGGGTTGCAGGCTGGGGCTACAATGAAAACCATGGCGTGGGCCCTGGCACAGGATGGCATCTACTCAGAGGGGAGGGCAAGAGTGCTATGAGTGCCATGGAGGCAAGCAGTGGACCTGTGCCATCTCAGAGACCTGGGTTTGAAGATTAACTGTGCAGCCTCAGGCTCCCTCCCAGAGCTTCTCTTTACTTTTTTTGTCAAATGGAGAAAACATATAGGTTATTGGGGACATAGTGACCCCAGAGTCAGGCAGCTTGGTCCTCAGCCTGGGAGGGCCTGCAAGACCCTGGTGAACGTTAAGCTCAGGAGAATGCTGGAATGGGGGAGTCTTCTTCATGGAGATCAAGGTGAGATCTGTCTTAGGCAGTGCCAAAGCGTGGCCACCTCTGTATGTGGTGATGTCACCCTGCTCCTCCACTGTGAGTGCTGGGCAGAGCCACCACATACGGTCACACAGGTTGTTCACTGCACAAGGGTGGCTGTCCCTGGGTCTGAGCTTCACTAAAGAGTTCTGCTCCCCATGTCCACAGTCCCTCTTGAAAACTTTAAGCGAACCCAGAATATGAAAGTTTCTGAGCTAACCACTGAGCCAACCCAGGCCATGTCTAGTCCCAGAACCCCTAGGCTTGACTAACCCAAACCTTCCTGTGTGCCACAGGGAACCTGGCGCTGGGGCCCCGGGGGCTCTGGGGCCATCCTGCTGGTAAACTGTGACAGAGACGCCCGTGGGTCCAGGGAAGACCTGCATGACAGACATTTGAGATCACTGGAGGGTGAGTGACCTCAGGCATGGGAGGTGGGGAGGGAGGGAAAGAGGGGGTCTTGTGTCCCAGGCTTTCTTTTGGGCCACCAAACAGCTCCCAAGTCATGACACAGAGACTTCTTATTAGTTTTGAATGCTCAGCCTCAGCTTAGGCTCATTTCTTGCTAGCTCTTATAACTTAACCTGCTTCTCTTCATCTACCTTTTGCCTCGGGGCTTTTTACTTTTCTTCCCTTCTGTACGTCTTACTTTCGCTGCTTCTCACATCTGGCTGGCTTCTGGCTGCAGGCATTGTCCCTCTTTTTCTCCTTCATTCTCTCCTTCTTCTTCTCTCTAGCTTTCTCCTCCTCCTTATTCTCTCTGCCTGCCAGGCCGGCCTATCCCTCTCCTGCCTAGCTATTGGCCATTCAGCTTTTTATTAGACCAATCAGATGCCTTAGGAGGGCAGGTGAAGCAAATGCAGCACACCTTTACATGATTAAACACACATCCTTACGTGTTAGACAAATGCAGCATAAACAAATGTAGCACACCTTACACAGTTAAAGTAATTCGGTAGCATAAACAAATGTAACACAGCTTTGCCTAATTAAAATAATATTCTGCCGGGCGGTGGAGGTGCACGCCTTTAATCTAGCACTTGGGAGGCAGAGGCAGACTGATCTCTGTGAGTTCAAGGCCAGCCTGGTCTACAAAGTGAGTTCCAGGACAGCCAGGACTGTTACACAGAGAAACCCTATCTCAAAAAAAATCAAATAATAATAATAATAATAATAATCCACAGCAGTCTTGGGGGGATACGTTTGTCTCAGAAATCACTCTCTCAGACCTGCAGGACATGTCCCCAATGGTCCTGAGCTGCGGTGGCCCTGATGAGCTCTTTGAAAGCCACAAGCTGGTCTTGAAGGCGTCTCCGCCTGATTCCAGAAGGCTGAGGGTCTTCTGTGCCCGAGGTGAGTGGCGGTGGCCCGTCTCATCCCCTTCTTCCTTCTGTAACTGTCACCTTTTTGTAAGTCGTCATGAATTGTGTAACTGCGCCAGTGGGGAACAGAATGACAGCCAAGGATGGGGCCAACTGCTGGTCCCATCGCACAGATGGAGAAGCTGAAGCCCAGACACACGGAGTCACCGTCACACGGCCCGGTGGATGAAACCATTGGCTTCTTGGCCACCAAGGCCCCTCCCTGGCCCCCCATGACTCGTTGGCTCCTCTTTCAGCACCAATCTCTTGCTGTCTGGCAGCCTTGGGCCCTTGACCCAAGCAGGCAAAGAGGGGCAAGGGACCTTAGAGGCTGGGGCCCAGGGCCTGATTGAATCACTAGATTTTTCTAATCAGAATCTGCAGCTTTAGGGGTCTGGGGTGCAGTTCAGTGGTGATATATTTAGTTACCCCAAATAAAAATCCAACCATATCAGAAGCCACTCCCTTCTTCTGTCACCACAAATGAGATTCATCCATCGTGTGGCCCGCACAATCACTTCATTGCTCTCTGGGGGCGGGTCATAGCCCATCTGTGGATATACTTTATTTGGCATCATTTGTTTATAAACACTATGGACAGACATTTGAGTCATCATCACCTTTTGGGTGATGCTTTCCTCTAGTTATCTGCTAAACAGTTCACCTGAGGTTCAGAGAGGTTGAGTCACTGAGCCAAGGTCACAAAGCTTGTGCCTTGTAGAGCTGGAAGGGAGCTCAAGGAATGCTCCCCAGAGGGGGCTCAGACCCAGACTCCAGCCACACATTTCCTGTCTTCCTGTCCTACCAGCCCCGACCCTGTCCCACATTGGCCTGACCCTGTTCTCCTTAGGTGGGACCTCCCTCTCCGACTACAAGCAGGTGCTGGGACCCTATCATCAGGACTATGAGGTGGAGCGGCTTCCCGGGGAGAGCGATATCCAGTTCTATGTGGAGGGACTTGCTTTCCCTGACACCAATTTCTCAGGGTTGGTCTCTCTCAGCGTCAGCCTGGTAGGCACCGAGGTAAACACTAGAGGAGGGCTGGGCCAAGGGCGGGGTGTGGGGTCAGAGGACAGTCTGGAGCCCACAAAGCCGCTGAGCTCTCCTCTCCCCCAGGGCCTCCTTGAGGTGTCACTGTTCACAGACAGCGTGAGCTTCCGCGTGGCCCCCTGGATCATGACCCCCAACACCCAGCCACCTCTGGAGCTGTATGTGTGCAGGTGAGCCGCCCCCAGCTCCACCTTGCCAAAAGCAGAAGAGTAAGCAATAATGCTGGCCAGCCTTCATTCCGGGATGGCGTCACAGCCCTGAGCTGCCACAGGACCACAGTAGAGGTCCTGCCACACTCACCAGCACCAGCTCTAAGTCTGCTGGCTCCCTCCCTGTTAGACACCTTGAATTCAGTCTGGGTAGTGGGGTCAGGTGTGGTGGTACCAGCCTGTAACCCCTCCTTTGGGAGGCTGAAGGAAAGGACTGGCAATTCAAATCCAGCCTCCGCTACGTGAGACCCTGTTTCAAAACAAAACAAAATCAGGATGGTGGGGCTGAGGCCTGCATGTGTGCCAGGGACTACAGGGAGCTGGCCTCACTCTCCTGAGGCCACTTCTGCATCTTCTGAGGACCTAGGACCCAGCCACAGGCCCCATTGTGAGTCTTGCCCATTCTGGGTGTCCTGGTCCTTCGGCTATGCCCTGGTTTCTAGTGGCCTCTGCTGGTCAACCCTTGAGATACCACAGGTAGGGGCGGAGGACAAATCCTGCTGAGCCAGAGGCAAATTCATAGCTAGAGGACGTGGCCACTCGGGGTTATCTGTCCACCTGGAGCCAGGAGTGTCCCAGCCTCCTGTCTGTCAGAGACCTCACCTTCAGTCTCTGCTCTAAGAAGACAGGGCTAGCCCACTTACTGCCGTCTCCATCAGTGGCATCAGCCCCAGGTCACCTCCATAGCTACCCTGGACTGCCTGGGCTGGTTCAGGCACCGTGCCTCTGGTCTCCACAGCCTGGCCTTGCCCTGCTCATGCACTGGTCATCTGATGTGATCTAGGGACGGGACCCCTACTCCCCACCGCCCCATCTCCAGCCTTTCCAGGGTAGGCATGGATCTGAAGCTCAGCACCCAGGGACCCAGGGCCTGGCACAGCTGGAATCTGGTCCCAGCTGCAGTCTCTGTCCTTGCAGTGTGACAGACGCCCATGGCCGCAATGACAAGTTCCTGGATGCCATGGCCCACCTGGCCCTGAAGGCCGACTGCAAACTGGTGGTCTGTCCCCGGGTGGAGAATAACAATGATCGCTGGATCCAGGTGGGTGCAAGGCCGAGCCAAAGAACTGGGTGGGTGGTGGGTGATTGGGAGTACAGGAGCCCAATCACATCTGTCTGCCTGCCTGGCCCGAGTGAGAGCAGCCTGGCCCAGGACTGAGGGCCACCCTTCAACAGGAGCAATCTCTCCTGTCTCCTCCTGACTCTGGGCTGGGTCTTCCGGATGGAGCCTGGAGGCCTCCCCCATGTTCTCCTCAGGTCTTGGGTGATGTCATTGTCTGGGGTCATCTTTCCTGAAACCTCCTGTGGAGGCCTGCTGTAGATCTTTCTTCTTCACACAGGACGAGATGGAGTTTGGCTACATTGACGCCCCTCACAAATCCTTCCCTGTGGTCTTTGACTCCCCTCGAAACAGAGGCCTGAGGGATTTCGCCCTTAAGAAGATCCTGGTGTGTGGCCAAGTACACGGGGGTGGGGTGGGGGTGGGGGAGGGGCTTTGGTGGCTCCTCTCCCGGGAGCTCTGGTAGAGCCTCATCTGGCCTTTTAGGGTCCAGAGACTGGTGGGGGTGGTGACAGCAACCTGGAGAGTGGGTGGAAGGTTCCAGCTACGAATGCAAATGATATGCAAATCGCATGCAAATAGACACCCACTCCCATTACACCTCCTCCATTCTGGGAAAGACAGAACAGCAAGGTTCTTGGTCAGAGGTCATTCTCAGTGACCAGGGGTCATTCTCAGTGGTCAGAGGTCATTGTCAGTAGCTAGGGGTCATTCTCAGTGGTCAGAGGTCATTGTCAGTGGCTAGGGGTCATTCTCAGTGGTCAGGGGTCATTCTCAGTGGCCAGGGGTCATTCTCAGTGGCTAGGAATCATTCTCAGTGGTCAGGGGTCATTGCCAGGGGTCATTGTCAGTGGCCAGGGGTCATTCTCAGAGGTCAGGGTCATTCTCAGTGGTCAGGGGTCATTCTCAATGAGGAGTCAACAGAAATGGTGGCCTTGGAGACCAGACTGCCTTTGAGGGGCAGTGGACCCTTAAAGCATGCCAGGGACCGTGGTACTCCCTGTGCACAGGATGGTGGCAGCAGCTACTGGCACCACTGAGTTCTGGACACTGCCCCTAGTTTTTTATGGCTTCCCATGTTCAGTCCACAAGACACTCTGCCCTATTATTAATAATTGTTATTTATAAAGATTCCTTCTCACTACCAAGGAAACTGAGGCCTGGGGAGGTTAAACAACTTGCCCAAGGCAGGGAGCCCATGGGGCACCCATGCACAAACCCCAGCTGGGACCTGCAAGGCCCCCCGTACCTGACAGCTGGCTGCACCTTCTCCCGAGGTGGCCCCGTTTCTGTGGGTTTGTGGGCTCCAAGTCCCTTCCTGCTGGGACAGTGTGGACCCAGAAGGGCGTTTGGGAATAGGGTGTCTCAAACCAGTATCTAGCATACCTGGACGGGGAGTAGGGATGGGATGCAACAAGTCTTTCTCAGGTCTACCAGTCAGCTCCCAAATAACTACATGGGGACTTATTAATTATGGAAGCTGGGCCTTAGCTTAGACCTGTCCCACTAGCTCTTATAACTTAAATTAACCCATTTCTATTCATCTACGCACTGCCACGTGGCTCCTGGCTGTACCTCTCCTCCTGCACGCCCTGATTCCCCTGTGTCTGGTTGATAGCTCCACCTTTTTCCTCTCTAAATCTTCTTTATCCCCAGAAATCCGGCCTAACCTCTTCCTGCCCAGCTATTGACCATTTAGCTCTTTATTAAACTAATCACAGTGCCACATCTTCACACAGTGTAAAGGAATATTATGCAATGGGGGTGGGGGGGTGAATCCTTCTGAGTATGTGTGGAGACTGGAGTGCTCTGGCTCTTGGCTCTGTGACCCCTCGGCCTCTGCTCCCTTTGGGTTCATGGTGCTCCTTTCCTCTTGGCTTACTATGCAGGCTGAGGCTGCTGAATGCCCTCTCCTCCTGACTGGTATGTCAGGAGTCCTGAGCCCTCTGTCTCCCCAGCCGCTCACAAGTTTGAATGTGTGGGGTATTTGCGCGTGCGCATACGTGCGGAGACCAGAGGTCATGCCTCAAAAGTTGTCCACCTCGTTTTTTTTTTTTTTTTAGATAGTGTCTCCTATTGACTAGGACTTGCCAATTAGGCTTGGCTAGCTAATTAGTGAGGCCCAGGATTCCACCTCTGTCTACTCTGCCTCCCAGTGCTGGAACTGCAAGTGTTTGCTCCCACACCTGGCTTTTATGTGGGTGCTGGGTCCTCAAACTCGGGTCTTCGTGCTTGCGTAACAAGTGTTTTCTTAACCTCCTGTGCCATCTGCCCAGCCCTGACGTGCTCCATTCTTCCTCCTTTTCCTACCCACGGTCTCTTTTCCACATCTGTCCATCCACAAGTCCTTCAGACATATGCTGCTTGATCAAGGGCCAGGAGACTCTCTGCTCTCCTCTGGACACTGACTTACTTAATCACGACCTGCTCAGTGTATAGAGAAAGGGGCTTGTGAGATGTGGATGGAAGCAGGCGTCCAATGTCCTCCTCTCCTCTCAGCATGATTCCCCCCCACACACACACATCTTCCTGCCCATGCATGCTCTGATGATGCCTCTCTAGGGTCCTGACTTCGGATATGTGACCCGGGAGATCCAGTTCGCAGGCGCCTCTGGCCTGGATTCCTTCGGCAACCTGGATGTGAGCCCACCGGTGAGGGTGGGCAGCAAAGAGTACCCACTCGGCAGAATCCTCATCGGTGGCAGCTTCCCCAAGTGAGTGGCCTGGGAGGGTGGCGGGGTGCGGGAGGATGCAATCACCTCCTCCATGAGGCTCTCCAGACTGGGAGGTGCTCACCAGAGCCCATGACTGTCCCAGACTCTGGACTGGAAGGTGCTTTCCAGAGCCCATGGGGAATGACTGTCACGGAGTCCAGTCTGGGAGGTGTGCTCCAGAGCTCATGGACTAATAGTCACAGAGATCGTAAGGTCTCAGGGTTAAGTTAGTGGTCCAGAGTCTGATTAAGATCATCACCACATTAAACCAGCCTGTCAGAGGCTGGGAATGAGCTTGATTGATAGGGACTTGCCTACCAAGCATGGGTCCCTCCCTGGGCTTGATCTCCAGCTTGGCGTAGGTAAGCCAAGAGTGGTGGATCATAGTTGTGATCCCAGCACTTACTTGGTTGAGTGAAAGCAGGAGGATCAGAAGTTCAAGGTCATCCTCAGCTATATGGAGAGCTCAAGGCCATCCTGGGCTAATGAGACCCTGTCTGAAGTCAGCCAAGCTGGGTGCAAAGAACAAGATGTTTAGGGCTCAGTTAAGGTGCAGATGCTGACTCATCAGTCAGTGAGTCCCTCCTGCCCCCAGGGAGCCGGACGAGGGTGTGCCCCTTGAAGCCCACTGGGGTTTCACTCTGTCACAAACTTGGAGGCCCCTTCCATTTGTAGAGCTTGGTGTGAAGTCTAGGTGTGGCCCAAATTGTCCTCTGAGCCCCAGCTGGCCACACAACCTGGGGCTGCTGTATCAGACAAGGTGGGTTTTGCTGGTACCAAGTGAGGCACTAAGTTGGGTGCCCGGACCTGCTGCACTGGCTGGGGCTGGCTAGGTGATGGACAGAGGCCCAGCTGGCCACCCACCTCACATAGTACCCTGCAGCTGGCCTTCAGGCCTGGAGGTCCCCAGGGCGCGGCCTGTGGGTCTCAGGATCCGATGCCCATTGGTGTGGGCTGTGCCACTCAGCCAGTGTTCGCCACGGTGTCTGGCAGATCCAGTTGGCGCTCGATTTGTTCATTTAAACCAGGGTCATGTGCCAGGCATGGGTGAAAGTACCGTGGGTGCTAAACATGGTGGTACAACCCAGTAACTCCAGGAGGCTGAGGCAGGAGGATCATGAGTTCAAGGCCAGCTTTGACTACAGAGTGAGGCTCTTTCTCCAAAACGAAAAACCAAACAAATAAAACAAAACCAACAAACTAAAAGGGCAGGGAGACTAAGCAAAAAACAAAAAAACAAAAAACCAGAAAAGGAAGTTCTAGGGAAACAGGGTGAGCAATGGTGTTACATTTTAAATAAATAATTTCTTTTCTAGCCCATGCCTCGTTTTCTTCAACTGTAAAATAGGCTGGATAAAAAGCCCTCTCCCGCCAAGCAGTGCACACCTTTAATCCCAGCACTTGGGAGACAGAAGCAGACCGATCTCTGTGAGCTTGAGACCAGCCTGGTCTACACAGTGAGTCCAGGGCAGCCAGGGCTGCACAGAGAAACCCTGTCTCAAACTGCCCACCCCCCACCCCCTCAAGAGAAACGCTCCTCTAGGATTAAATGCATTGGTGGGGCAGGCCTTTAATCGCAGTACTCAGACTCAGGAGGCAAGAGAGTTCAAGGCCAGCCTGGTCTACAGAGTGAGTTCCAGGACACTCAGGGCTACACAGAGAAACCCTATTTTGAAAAATAAACCAACAAAAAGCCTCTCCCTCGGGGCTGACTAGATAGCTTAGTGGGTAAGGTGCAAGCTTCCTAATCGCAAAGGCCTGAGTCTGGATCCTCAGCACTGGGGTAAAAAGCTGGGCATAGCCCACGCGTTTGTAACCCCAGCACGGGGCGGGGAGGGGGGGGGGCAGAGACAAGAGGATCCCCGAGGCTCGCTGGATAGCCAGCCCTCCTGAAACAGCCACAAGTTTAGTGAGAGATCCTGTCCCCAAAACTAAAGTGGAGGGCACTAGAGGAGGACACCTGATATCAACACACACATACACAAACACACACACACAGAACACACACCACACACACACACAGAGCACACACCACACACACACAGAGCACATACCACATACACACACAGCACACACACAGAACACACAACACACATACATACAGAGCACACACAACACACACACACAGAGCACACACCACACACATACAGAGCATACACAACACACACACACAGAGCACACACCACGCACACAGAGCACACACAACACATACACACAACACATACACATACACAGAGGGTTGGGGTGGGGGCAGAAGAGGCAGGCCTGTCCCAAACCAGGACCTTTTCCACACACAAGCGGCAGAGACCCCCTTCTCAAGTCTCTAGGTTCATCTCAAGGACCTGTAAGGAAGGCAAGGTCTCCAGGCACCCATTGGCTGTGGCCCACGGAGGAGCTGTACATCAGCCTTTGGGCTGCTAAAACCCAGGAGTGGGGCCCTTAGTGGAAGATGAGACCTTGGTGCCCAGAGAGGGACAGCCACCCATCTAGAGCCACACAGGATTAATGATGCTGTCCAGGTGTCCTCTCTGGATCCCAGTGTAGAATTTGTCAAGTTGGGCTGCTGCTGTCCTGTGTCCTCTCTGACATCTGTTCTCTGAGGTGAACAGAGCAGGCAGCCTTCAAAATCCTAGCAGGTGGCGCACACCTTTAATCCCAGCACTCGGGAGCAAAGGCAGGCAGATCTCTGTGAGTTCCAGCCTAGCCTGGTCTACATAGCCAGTTCCAGGCTAGCTGGGGTTATGCAGTGAGACCCTGTCAGTAAAACAAAATAAATCCCAGTAATTTTTCAGAGCCACAGCATTCATGTCTACAAAATGGGGACAGTGCCAGCCCCAGCCTCATGGGGCTGCTGTGTCATTAGACATGGCACACAGTTGATAGATAACACCTGTCCCCTCAGTCTGGGCAAGAATCTGACAGTGAGATGATGTCCTGAAGGAAGAGAGTTACAAGCCTAAGTGTTCAGAAGGAGAATGTTTCGAGGAAAGACAAGAGCATTTGTAAAGGCCCTGAGGCAGGAGCATGCCCGAGGCTTTGGAAGGCTGGGAGGAGGTCAGTGGGCAGGGGCTGAAGCTGAGGGAGAAAGGAGAAGCTCATGAGGCACAAGATGAGGGAGGAGGCAGTGTGACCCCCAGATGGTGACATTGCTAATATGTATGCATCCCGAGATGACCTTTTTAGGTTGGTTGGTTGGTTTCTGAGACAAGGTTGCTCTGTGCAGCTCTGGCTTTCCTGGAACTCGCTCTGTAGATCAGGCTGGCCTCCAACTCAGAGATTCGCCTGCCTCTGCCTCCTGGGGGCTGGGATTAAAGATGTGAGCCACCACCATCCAGCTCAGGATGATCTTAAGGACTAAAGGAGGCACTAAGTGTAAGAGCCTAATCCAAGCGCACAGTAGGTACCCAACAAACCAGGTCTTTCAAGGCTACCTTGGGTTCGCTCCAATCATTGAACAATCCTGCCCCCTGGTGGTAGTTTTGGTGATGATGTGGATGGAGACAATCTGCCCTCTTCTGGGGCTGGGACCACCTTTTCCTTGGCCCAGCCTCCAGAAAAGAGAGTGGGAGCAAGTCCCAAGGAGGGGCTTCACGCTGCATCTTCTGAACTGTTTGCTTTCTCCCCATCTCATTGTTTTAAAGATGCCCTTCCAAACGGCCAGTGCTACATTAAACTAACAGGCGGAAGAATGTGCTCCCACCTTCCACCCACAATTCCAGCCAGGAGCTTCACTTGAGTCTTTGTCAAGCTTGTTTGTGGCAGGCTCCAGTTTCTATAAATTATGGACTTCTTTTTTTCCTGGCTGAATTCAAATTCAAAATACAGCCAAGGCTCCTCCTGCCTCCGCCTCCCAGGGGCCGTAATGACTGGTGTGTGCCACCACACCCCGTTTATGCAGTACCAGGGATTGAACTCAGGACCTCATGCATGGCAGGCAAGCACTGTACTAACTGACCTGCCTCTGGAGCCTCTGGGTCCTATTTGTTACACAGCTGCTCCAAAGCGTTCGCGTCACTCACGAGTGTTTCTGAATCAGATATTGTGTGAGAGGGGGCAGGGGCTTCGGCAGAGAACAGCTTAGACTTACCCTGCCCTGGTAGAGTGTGCATCCCAGCAGGGGGCGAGACCCAGATGGGTCCAGCTGGATAACCAGTGCCATGGGGGAAAATGAAGCTATGAAGGGGGTTGGGACATGGCTGCCATTTGTCAAAACCTCAGAGAAAGAAGTCAAGATTTGAGTTACACCCAGATGAGGGAAAAGGGGAACCATGGGACCATGGGGAGAAGGCTGTGACTCCCGCGGGAGGGCAGAGGAGGTGCAAAGGTCCTGGGGCAGGATTGTGTTTGATAAGTTCAAGGGACAAGAAGAGATCAGAATGAGTGGAGAGGAGAGGGTCAGGGCCAGGGTGGAGGTTAGGTGGACTGTGGGCCATGGGGAGGTCCAGAGGAGGTCAGTGGGGGATGTGCAGTTTCTGGAGGTAAGATGGGAGTGACCCCAAGGTTTCAACCAGAAGAGGTACAGAGCATGACTTTTCAAATCCTCCTCTGGATAGATAAGGGATCAAGGAAAAGGACAGGTCACTGGCCACCCAGAGAGAAAGGCTTCCACTGGCCAGAGAAGGGTTGACATCACTCCTTGCTCAGGGCAGTCTCCACACTGGAAGCAGGTCTGAGAGCTGGTGGGTGGTGTGGTCTTAAGCTGGATGGTTGGTTGGGAACAGGATCTTTTTATACAAAATAACCTTCTGAGTGGGTTCTTTTTCCCAGAAGGTAGACTAAGGCTTAGAGAGAGCCGAGAAGACAGCCTGGGCCACACAGCTGAGAAAGGTCAGGGCCAGACCTTAGTGATCCCAAGCCCCGAGACTGAGAGGCCCAAGCTGAGACCAGGGCCTGGGGATGTAGCCCAGTTGGTGACGTGCATGAGCCTAGGTTCAACCCACAGCACCGTATAAACCGTTCAGGTCTTGCACTTGTGATCTCAGTACTTGGGAGGTAGAAGCAGGAGGACCAGGGGTTTGAAGTCATCCTCAGCTGTATGGGAGGTAGTGGAGGACACATCTGCTGTATTCTCCCCGGGTAAGGGGTGCTTAGGAAATGCTAGATTTCATCTCAGGAACTTCTGGGGGTTGGAGAGTGGGGAACCCCAAATCCCCGAGGCACTCTGGCACGAGTAAGACGCAAACCTCTCTTTAACATGGAGTGATTGGCTGGACTCACGAGGCCTCATTCAAACAAGCTCCGCCCCCTTGCCAAACCTGACCCCTGACCTCGGCCTGCATCTGTCATGCCCATGCCCATCTGTCCCCTGACCTATGTGTCTGCGTCTCTCTTTCTGGGACATCCTCTCCCACTCTATCCCCAGTGGCTTCAGCTTGGCTTTCAAATCTCTGGGCCTGTCAAGCAGTGGAGTCTGGCCCTGACCTTTCTCAGCAGCATGGCCCAGGCTACGTCACCTTAGCTCACTGAGCCTCAGTTTCCCCTCTGATAAAGAGGACGCACTCGGAGTGTTGTGAGGGCATAGGAGATGCACTGGGTGGGCGGGGGAGGGTGCATAAGGTGACTGACCTAGCCTCTCTCCCCACCAGGTCCAGTGGGCGGCGCATGGCCAGGGTGGTACGTGACTTCCTGCAGGCCCAGCAGGTGCAGGCTCCCATAGAACTCTACTCCGACTGGCTTTCTGTGGGCCACATAGATGAGTTTCTGAGCTTTGTGCCCACCTCTGACCAAAAGGTGTGTCTCCGGCTTCACCATCCCACAGCTTTCCAATTGACACCCCTCTGCCCCCACCTGGCCTGATGGAATGGCTCGGGGTGTGGGCAACCAACTCAGTCCTATGCGGTCAGCATGCCCCAGGCTTGGGCTGTGTTAATCAGGGAGGGCTTCCTGGAGGAGTAAAAAGCCTCAGGCCAGGAGACTGCGTGCTTCCTGCTGGCCTTTTCAGACCCAGAACACTCCAAGTCAGGAATGACACCTGGTAAGAGCTGAGAAAATGACTCGGGCCCCTACTATGTGCCAGACTCACACCCACTTTTAGCCAGGTAACCCTCCAACAAGCCCATGCTTGCCTCCATTTTACAGGTAAGGAAACCGAGGCTCAGGAGGGTTCTGCCCTCTCTCAGGTCCATACAGCCTAGGGGTGGCTGGGAAGGATTTTAATCAGGATGTGGACCACAGAGTCCCACTATCTTGTGGAGAGGGCCAGGAAGAAAGTGACCCTCAGTCTCAGGGAGGGACTTCCTAGTGGCCAGAGATTCTGGCCCAGCGTGGTGAGGGCCCTGATGGAGGCAGTGGGCAGCTGCAGTAGGACACACCTGGGTTATGTGGAAGGCAGGAATCCAGTTCCCTGGTAGGGCAAAGTGAACAGGTAGGGAGACAGGTGAGGGAAGGGTCTGCAGTTGGGACCCACTTGGGTGGAGGGTGGGGTGGCCAGGGAGGGGGAGAGAGGAGCCCAGTGCACACCTGGCTCCTGAACTCAGTCCTTGAGGGTCTCTGGCGTCTAACGGAGCCATGCTTTGGGCCCTTTGCTCCCCTCTGTGGCAGGGCTTCCGGCTGCTCCTGGCCAGCCCCAGTGCCTGTCTCGAGCTGTTCCAGGAGAAGAAGGAGGAGGGCTATGGGGAGGCGGCACAGTTTGATGGTGAGTGTCACCCTCTGTCACCTCACGGGGATTCTGTCATCACCATCCCTGGGGATGTTCCGACTGCTGCCCCGGGGTGAGGAGGGAAATTAAGGGGCCAGGGAGTCATCCCAGATACTTGGATGGTGGTGTGGCTCCTAGGCTGGAGCTTGGGAGAGATGCAGGGGTACTGCCCGGGTTCAAATCCTAGCCTCAACACTTGTTGGAGGTGGAGCCAACCGAGGATGTGCTCTGCCTCTTGGAACCTCCATTCCCCTTCTCTGGGTTGGAAATGATAATCACCCTCCCTGGAACATCTCAAAGATCAACAAAAATTAGGCTGGCTCCAGCAGGTGTGGAGGTCAGCGCTGGGAGCCGAGAGAAGCCTTTCCCAGCATCTCTGATTCTCCTCCAGGTCTTAGCTGCAGCTGGAAGCAGCCTTCCAGCGTCCGGTCTCTCTCTGTCACCATCTGCTTTTGACAGTGTCACTGGCCTGCACTGTGCTGCTTCAGGCCTGGGGACTCCCTGAACTCACACAATCTGTCTGTGCCCTGAACTCACACAGTCTGTCTGTCCCTGAACTCACACAGTCTGTCTGTCCCTGAACTCACACAGTCTGTCTGTCCCTGAACTCACACAATCTGTTTGTCCCTGAACTCACATAGTCTGTCTGTCCCTGAACTCACACACTGTCTGTCTGTGTCCCTGAACTCACAGTCTGTCTGTCCCTGAACTCACACAGTCTGTCTGTCCCTGAACTCACAGTCTGTCTGTCCCTGAACTCACACACTGTCTGTCTGTGTCCCTGAACTCACTGTCTGTCTGTCCCTGAACTCACACAGTCTGTCTGTCCCTGAATAGGCCTCAAGCATAAGGCAAAGAGAAGCATCAACGACATGCTAGCCGACAGACACCTCAGGAGGGACAGCATGCACGTGCAGGTGAGGGCAGGACAGTGGCTGGGTCCAGAGAGGGGGGACGTAGCCCAGCCTCGGTTTGTCCTGTAGGTTTCTGAAGTTGTGGGGTTGAGTTTTACCCTCAGGGGCTGGCAGACTGGGGGGACAGGCTGGCCGCCCTTAGGCCATGGCAGGGACCTGGGGTTGCCTGGCTCTGGGGGTGCAGTCCCCTTCCACGGAAGTGAATCCAAGGCCTCGCCCTGGGAATGGGAATGGGAGATGCAGTGACATGGACCCTGAGCAGAGAGCAGGTGGGACAGTTCTGGGAAGAGAGAGGGCTCACCAAAGACAGTGCCCGCCACGTGTGTGGTGCTGGGCTCAGAAAAGGGAGGCGGAGTGCTAAGAGCCGTAGACACACAGCAGTGACAACTGATATTCATAAGGTCAACCCACCGCATGAATGAAAAGGTCCTAAGTCCCGCTGTGCTGCAGCCTTTTCTTCCAGCCCTGCTCTGCCCGCCTTGGAGCTGGTCTCTTGGCCCCCTGCCCCCCCCCCCTGCACCAAACCAGGGACTTTACCTACCCCCCCCCCCCCCCCCGGGCACCAAACCAGGGACTTTACCTAGACGGCTGGGGTGGGGCAGATGTCTTAGCCACGCGGTGGTTGGGACAGTCTGTTAAAGTGACGGGGTCATCCAAGTGGTTCAGCAGGGTACAGGCTCCTGCTGCCTGGGGAGCTGAGTTCGACCCTGGAATTCATAGTGGAAGGAAAGAATTATTGACTGACCTCCACACGTGCCTGTGTTACACACACACACACACACACACACACACACACACACACACACACACACAGAGTTAAAAATGTAATCAGGGGCTAAAGAGAGGACTCAGCGTTTAAGAGCACTGACTGCTCTTCCAGAGGACCCAGGTTCGATTCCCAGCACCCACACAACAGCTCACAACTGTCTGTAACCCCAGTTCCAGGCGATCTGATGCCCTCTTTTGGCCTCCACTGACGCCAGGCACGCACATAGCATACAGGCATACATGCAGGCAAAACATCCATGTACATAAAATAAAAATAACTTTTAAAAATTGTAGTCAAGTGACAGGATCCTTTGGAACCAAACCTCAACTATTCCTAGCTCTGTGCGGTTGGGCAAGCTGCCCCGAGCCTCAGTTTCCCCCACTTCAGACAGCTGTGAATCCTTTTGCACAAAGCCATTGAGAGGCTCCGAGGCGCCCACGGGTGCTCAGGGCTGCACTCAAGCACAGTGCATCCAGATTCTCCTGTCCAGGGGCATGGCTTCCCTCCTTCTCCCCAGAAATGTATCGACTGGAACCGGGAGCTACTGAAGCGGGAGCTGGGCCTATCCGAGAGCGACATCGTGGACATCCCACAGCTCTTCTTCCTGAAGGGAGCCTATGCTGAAGCCTTCTTCCCCGACATGGTGAGAGCCCCTGGTGGCGGGAGGACAGGCGGATACGGAGGCTGCATGGAGAGGGCACAGCTTGGTCGGCAGCTCCTAGACGGGGCAGGTGCATGCCCTGGGGCTTATCTGATGGCCACAATGAGTTTGTGCCTTTGGCACCTGGTGGGCAACAGCAGGAAGGGTTGCTAGACACCCCACAGTGGAGAGGTCAGCCCCACCCCAAGGAGCTTTCATTTTCTAAACGACAGACGTTTCTGCCTTCTGTCTGGAGGCTCGCTTGCCCCGTTCCCACATTAGCCTTCACTTGAAGCTCCCCCAAGGGGCTTCTTTGTAAAAGGCCTTCCTGGCAGGCAGAACAAAGAGTGGCCATTAGGCAGATGACATGCAGATGAGGCCTATGGCCCTCCCTGGGGAGGGGCCTGAGTGATGCTCTCAAATCAGCTGGCCCATAAGCCCATTTCCTGCCAGGAAAGGATGTAGGGTGAGGGCCTCAGTGAGAGGTGAGCTCTGGAGCAGGAA